TCTCTCCATCTTTGTAAAGATTCCATATGTTTAAATCTGTGGAGTTTCTAAAGGCATATTGTTTTGACTCTCGAATAAAAATGTTCAAGTTGCTTGTTTAGATATAGGACATCTGTGCTGGAGAAGAATAGTCAATGTGTTGTTAATTTTGTATAGCAGTGGTAGGGTGAGCTACTCTGTTTTCTTGGGAATGAGAAGATACTATTTTCTGTTTGAAAATATTATTTTCTTTAGGTGTCCACTTTTTTTTTATCCTTTCAAGTAAATTGTTAACTTGTGTTATCTTCTGAACATATTAACGTAAGTAAATAATTGTTCAACGAAGTATTATATAGAGGAAAAACTGCAAAAGTGCTTTTAAAATCATACACTATCAATTAGAGTAATTGCTGCAAAACATGCATAAAACCTGTTATTTTAGATTACTTCAGAGCCTGGCCATCCTGTTGCCTCCAAGTCTGATTTCTACTTATCTAATTTTTTCTTTATGAAAATAATCTGAATATTTTTTCACACTTTTATAAATTTAATTTAAAATTTGAGGTCAATTCTAGCTCTTAAAGAATGCACAATTACTAGACATTTACTTTCAGTATTTAAGGAAATTTTCTTATAAGTATTTAGTTATCTCCAAGTATATATATTTTTTAATGTAAGTATTAGGAAGAAATAGAGCCATTTCGATTATCACAAGGGACAAAGACTATTCCAGCTTTTATCTCCACCTTGCAAAAAATTCTTAAAGGTTTTATTCTCTTTCTTTAGAACTTAGAACTCAGACAACTTCATTTATAATTGTTTGTGTTTCTAGGGACCAATTTTAAAATGCAGTACATGTATTTTCTGCATTAATATACCTACTGTACTTACAATTTTCATGACTACACAAGGCCAGCTGAAGATTTTCTGTTACCCTCTGGAAGTTTACAGTTATGTAAATATATATAATTGATAATTAAAGACAGACTGTAAAATTTTAAAACACATTCATTCATCTAGCAAACATTTTACAACACAGAGAAAAACATTTTTAACCAAGAAAAGTCAATTCATAGGAAAGGTCTTTATGCATCCTCAGTGCCCTTAGGTAATACCATCAGGTATGCAGCAGTAGTTATAATGTTGAACTCATTACATCCTATTGATTCATTTATTAATTAATTTTGTTAGTTCTGCCCACTTTGGACAACTGAATTGTCCAAGAGAATCCAATTCTCTTCATAAGTTTAGTGAATATTTAGTGAATATTTGAGTTATATTGAATAATATAAATTTTTAATTTTTTGTTTCATTTCTTGGGTTTATATTTACCAATTTGTTTTTTTTTTACATATTTTATATACATGTTAAATTCTAGGATCTATGCTGAGCACCAGAGACACAATATTGCAAAGGACAGACATGCTCCCTGTCCTGAGAGTCTGAGAAGATTAATGTAGGTATAATCAGAAGTAATGTCTTTCACACTCTTTGAAGGCAGTAATATCTAAGCAAAGAAGAGAGTAAGTTTTACCAACAGAGAGAATGGAATATTCAAGGGTCCAGAGAAAAGAAAGTATGTTCAACTGATAATAGTTAATCATGTGAGTTGAGGACTAGAGAAGCAAACAGGGTAAGTCTTGACAGATTTCAAACTATATCTTCATGGAAATAGTAAATAATTAAAGAAGAATAGCATTAAGAAGAGAACATAGTCATATTTACATTTTTTTAAAGTAGGCTCCCATGCCCAGTCTGGAGCCCAACATTGGGCTCCAACTCACGATCCTGACATCAAGCCCTGAGCTAAGATCAAGAGTCAGATGCTTTACTGACTGAGCCACCCAGGCACCCCTCATAGTTACATTTTAGAAGGATCAAACTAAATTCAGTGGGTGAAAAAATTAGTTGGATATGAGAGGAAGCAGGGTAGCCAATTAGGATTCATTGTGATACAGCCAAGAAATGGTGGGAACTATTAGAGGAGTGGTAGTGGGATGAAAGGAAAATGTAAGCTATCTGGGGAGTACAATCAGTAGTGTGAGGAGATGGAAGGCAACAGTGTGTACTGTGCAGCTAGCAGGAGAGAGTGCCCTTTATATAGGCTATGATGGTAGGCCACACAGTGGACCCCCACAGATGATACCCAGGTTTCTGGCTTGAGTAACTGGGAAGATGGTAATCTTATTCACTGAGGGAAAATAGGAAAAGATATGCTATAAGGGGGATAATGAGTTCAGTTTGAGGTGTCTATGGAATATTAAAAGGTTCATGACCAATGTGTAATGGGATATATGAGTCTGGAGCTCATGAAGATTTTTTGGGCATTAACTGTGGATCAGATAATATCCGCATATAGGTAATAGTTAAAGATATAGGAAAATGAACATTTTCAGGGAGAATTAGTAAAATGAGAAAAGTTGAGTGGCAAAACACCCTATTTAAAACATGGAAAGGAAGAATAGGAAAAGGCCCTGTTGCTGAAGTAGGAGGAAATTCCGTTTAGGGTGATGCTGTAGAATAAAGTGGAAGAGAGAGGTTTTTTAAAAGGAAGGAGTAGTTTACTGTGCCAATTGCTACCAAGAGGTCAAGTATAGTAAGAATTAAAACCTAATTATTACATTTATAAGTGAGATAATTATTAATGAGCTTGGTAAAAGTATTTCTTGTGGAAATGGCTGAGAGTGGGAACCAGAATGTGATAGGTTGTGGGAGGTGAGGAAGTGGAGACAGGGAATGTAGAACATGCTTTGGACCATTTAGAGTGTGAAGGAGAGGGGAGAGAGGAAGGCAGTGAGAGGAATATGAGTTCAGGAAGGATTTTTCTTTTTGAAGAAGGGTAGAACTTTAGCATGTTCACATATTGATGAGAAAGAAAGATGGAAGAATGTAAGATGATTAAGTTCCTCAGGAGGAAAAAGAAGAGTCCCTGGAGAACTGGTAGAAAGATTAGCCTTCAGTAAGAGGAGGTGGTAATTCTCTTTCACTGTGATAGGAGGGAAGGAAGAAAAACAGACATAGATGCAAGTTACTTTTTTGGTTCAATGGCCAGATATGGGGGGAATTTCAAGATGGTAAAGTTGGAAGCAGAGTCATCTGTTAAGAAAAGGTGAGGGAGGATGGAGCAAGGAATGAGAAGTTTGAGAGTAATAATGATGTCAAACATTTATTGAACTGTATGTTTCAGGAGATTTGCTGTGAAATTTTACATGAACTAATTCAGTTAATCCCCGAAGCAGTCCTATGGCTTAATTACCATTATTCCCATTTTAGAGATGAGGTTGGGAGTAGGCTTGAACTAGTCTCTGAGAACAGGAAAACAAGCTGACATGGTCCTGTTGAGGTTAGAGACCATGAAATTATAATGGCACTAAGCTAATGGATCTCACATCCTCATGACAGCCTGAATTCAAACTTTCAAAATAGCTATCATGAATATGGCTTGAAGACATCTGTTAATATATTATGTTAAAATATTTATTATGTGTGTATTTTTCCCACAGAAGGGAAGAGTGTGGGTCTTAATCATCATAGTACTCTCCCACTTAGTGCTGTCCCAGGCTCATAGTAAGCACTTAGAAGGTTTATATTAAATCATTTTTAAACTTGTTTCCACCCTTCCTTGCTTTTTAGACCTATCAAATGCTTTCTTTCTTGATTTAATATTCCAAATTCTTCCAACTGTTCTACATATGATTTTGTTCCAAATCTTTCATGTTCCTGCTAATACTCTGCTGCAAGAGCTTGACTGTGTTTATGTTTATATCTTTAATATGTAGCATTCACAAATAAATGTAACAATGCAGCTATAGTTGAGAAGAACGAGTCTAACATCAAAGTTACAGATTTGACAATCCTCTTTTTGTAAATTAAGAGAAATATAGCAGAATAATGATTATAGTTTGAAGGTAATGATTACAGTTCAAGTATGTTACTCTCAGGCACAAAGATTTTTTTTTTTTATCAATTTCTTCTACTGAAATGATATGGTTGTTAGCCTATACCTATGAAAGAATTAACCCAACTATCCTAGTAAATGTTTAGCTCAAGTCTGACTCCTAAAGTTCAGCAAACATCTCTACTTCTCTATCCCCTGTTAGTTGATATTTGCTTATAGAAAGAAAACAATTCCAAAATTAGCACAACCAAAGCAGAAAGAACCAGCCCTGCTAACAGCTTCACATTAGCCCAGTGAGATTCATGTCAGACTTTGGACCTCCAGAATTGCAAGATAATAAATCTGTGTTGTTTAAGCCATCTGATTTCAGTAATCTGCTATAGCAGCAATAGACTAATACAGGGGATTACATGTTGAAATTATACATTGGGACAGAATTAAGGACAGGGTACTAAAATTTTTTTGCAGAGATGATCATTCTACTTGCAGTGAATCAGTAACTAAAGCAGCTTCTTCACCTTCAACCTTCATAGACCTACTTTTCCCTGACTGACTTACTGACTTGACTTTACAGTCTATAGCAAACTATCAGCCCACAAATTATCAGATCTGCATGCACTTAAAAAAAAAAAAAGAATGAAAACACAAGCTCAGAAAAAATGGCAGCTGATGTGCTTATAAAACTTAGGCTACTGGTCATAACACAGCAATACAGTTAAATTTAGCTATTCTCCAAAACATCACACTTGATGTATCAATTTACTAAGGTGACATAATAATGACATTTATCATTTATTTAGCATTTATACTATGCCATATACTACGATGAGAATTTCACATATGTAATTTCATTTGATCCCACAATATCAATATATAAGAGATTTTATCCCCATTTTACAGATGAAATTTAAGCAAACTGGCCCCTGTCACAATGTTCGTAGGAATATCTGACTCTAAGGTCCATTTCTTTGTGGAAGGTCTAGGAAGACAGATTGGTAGCATCAGGCCTCTTCTCTTATATTTAAAATAATTGGGTCAACTCTAGTATTGGTTTTGCATATCTGTGTTTCTGCATAAAAACCACTCACCCTTGATTTTTGCTTTGCTTTGCTTTGCTTTGCAGAACATAACCTATTCTAGGAACAAGTGTCCTTTTTGAAGTTTGTGCTGTGGACATTTAATTAAAAGGGAAGATGTGGAACAAAATGGTATTCTGTGACCCGGAGTCTATCAAAGAAGGCTACCTTCAAGAGTTCAAGATTTGGCAGCATATTTTTGCTTTAGACTTTACCATGACATGTAAGAATTTATCTACAGGGCAGATATTTAAAAATTAACTTATAAAATAATTTGTTTGACTTCTATCGAACTGAAATCAAAATGTAACAAGATAGGTCAAGATTGTATACATCTAATATAGCAGGATAGATGTTAAATCATTGACAAACTATTCAATTTAATTGTTCACTGGCCAATTTGAAGTTAGGTAAAAAGAACAGGTTTCTTGTTGGGTCGAACTGTGCTGAATATTTGAATATTTTTACTGAATATTTAAAGGTGATAGAGATGGAAGAGATGGAAGAATTCAACTCTTGATTTGTCTTTGATGTTGCTTGAGAGTAAAGGGGACAAATGCATTTGACACAGGTAGAAACAGGAGACATATGTATCAGACCTAACCAAAGTATTAAAATTAAACTGATTTATTTTTTAAAATGAGAAAGTTGGCATTTGGGTATTTCCCTAGTATTACTCTATAAATTTGTCAAAACTTGGTTGCTGAAACTCCTCTCTGAAACTAATGGATAACACATCAGTTATCCTCATTGATGACTTGGTATTCCCTACAACAAGCTACATGTTCCCTCTCATCTCTGGATATATCTTGCTTACTGCCTACCAGAGCTGCTCTTTCCTTTCCTCTGCTAAGGTTAATGATTTCCATTTTTCAAAATACTGGTAAGAACTTATTCAGTCCCTTTATCCAAAATATATATGTATATTTATTAAGCACGTACTTAGTACAGGTGGCAGGAAACATACAGATTCTGTCTTTTAGAAGCCTAATTTGTTAGGAGGGACAGACAAGAGTAAAGAAAATTATAAGAAGTAGTAGGGATAAGAGCTGTGATACAAGATGCTATTATGTGATGGTACATTATTTTTAAATTTTGACCCCCTTCAATGAACTTCTGGAGTTTGTTAAAAGTTCAGGTTTATTCAGTGAAAAACCAGATCATCTGAGGCAACACATCACAGATGCATGTGCAGGACTGATGGGAATGAATAAGTACACCACATCCATTGCAGCTTTACACAGCACATTGAAAGCATCATATACTGTAATGTAAGGGTTATAAGTCATTTATAATGTCTTTTCCAGACAGTAAGGATACATTCTCTGTCTCAGAGGGGTTTTGTAAGGGTTAAATGGGTTCAGGTGTTCAAAGTGCTTATATATCAAGGCCATGGTGAGCATTATGTAAGTGCTAGATGTTATTATCATTTACATGGAAGGATGGACTTGGTTTTTATTCTTAATTGTGGTTTTAATAATTCTTGTATAATCCTTTTTTTCTTTCTATATGAAGTCTTACATTAAACGACCTCTCTAGGACTTGTTAAAAAAAAAAAAAAAAAAAAGAGCTGTGATACAAGTCCATATGAAGTCTTAAGGATATACAGAGAAAGTGTGCTTTTCATGAAGCTTTCATAATTTACTCTATACAAATGGTAATAATACTAAACATATATTATCATCTGTGTATAAAGGTACACTACAAAGTGCCATATGTGCATTATTTCATTTAAATCTCACAATAACCTGGGGGTTAGAACTATTTTTCATCTCATTTTTATAGATGAGGAGTCTAGGGCTCCAAGAAGTCAGAACAGTTTCTCCAAGTCACATAGTAATCAAGTGAGATTAAGTATGAGATAAGCAGAAAAGGATGCAGGTCTTTCACCCGCAAAGGCTGTCTTCCTATTATAGGGTAGAGCTTCCTCAAGGCAGTGTTTTTTAGTCCCGTAGCCCATGAAGAAATCGCTCTGCTCAGTGCGTGATATTTGATAGTGGGATTTCTGTACATTTCTTTGTGTATCTCTCTTCCATTATGTTCTGCTTCTTTTATTCAATAGTGAACTTCTTGAAGACACCACACATTTATTTTGGTTGACAGTGTGTCTTCCCAATGCTTATTTGTAATAGAAGGCTATCCATATAGATTTTGGTCAGTTGATTACTAATTAAGCCTGGGGAGAGAAGGATAAAAAAATAGAAAAGAGATCAATTATTGGTGATCTGATTAAGCAAATGGGGAAAACATGAAGAAAAGTTATTAAAGTTAAAAATTTTGAACATCAAAATGATTCCCATTCTGGTTTGGATTTAGTTTTATCCAGCCCCAATTCTGTTTTTAACAAAGGCACAAAGGGCTGTGTTATGATGAGAAAGAATATTCTTGTTTTATATTAATCTCAAAGATTAGAAACATTTACAAAATCCCAACTTTATGAGACTTGTACATTAGGATTTTGTGGTGGGCACAATTCTAAGATGACCCCTAAGATTATCAGTACCTTGGTATATATACACTTTCTCCCAGTTAATTTGTTAATTAAACAACTCATCTAGGTGCTGCTGGGAAGGGATTTTGCAGAAGTAATTAAAGTCCTAAATCTTAAAATGTTCTTGAGATTGGGAGATTGTAATTAGTGGGTATGACCACATGAACCCTTAAAAAGACCTGGGCTCTTCTTGGAAAGAAATTTTAAGTGTCAGAGGGAGATTCTCTTTTGTTGGCTTTGAGGATGGAGGGTACTATGTGGCAGTGATGGATGGGTGGGCTCTAAGAGCTGAGAGTGGCTGCTAGACTATAGCCAGCAAGAAGATAGGGACCTCAGACCTCCTTACAATTGTGAGGAATTGTTTTTGTGAAGAACTAGAATAAGTGTGGAAGCAGATTCTTCTCTAGAGCCTGATAAAAATCACAGCCTGGCTAACATCCTGAACAGCAAGTGCAGCCAAACTGCTCCTAGACTTCTGACCCATAGAACTGGGAACAATAAATGGGTATTGTTTTAAGCTGCCAAGTTTGTGGTAATTTGTTACACAGCAATAGGAAACTCACGTAGATTAAAAAACAAAACAAAACAAAACAGAAAAATCTCAGTCTGTGTTTCTTATTGTGATGATTTTTTAAAGTATACTCCACACCATTCAAAATAATCTTGCCTATTTTCTATTTAAAACTTTGCTCTTATTTTCAATTCATGTGATCAATACTGATGACTTAGGGATTTGGTAAATGAATTATTCATGGCACTAATATATTTGTTAAATCTTGGTATTTCTAGGCCCAAGAATCCTAATCACTTTAGTCTGTTTGCATGCAGAAGTGCATCCATCTCCTTGATTATTTTAGCTGGTCTTTTAAAAGTATTTTTCCTGAAGACCAGTGATTAGACTTGAATAGGAATGCATGTGATAGACAAATCAGGATTTTGTACAAAGGCAAAATAGTCTTTCTGAAGTAAAGAAAGAAATGGAGGCTTAGGAGGTTATATGTAGCATTAAGTAGCAGACTACTTCTTACCAAAAGCACTTCTACTATTACATTTACTACAAAACATGTATGTTTTGCATTTACTATTGTGTTTTTGGTCAGAAAAGGTCTACATAAGTAGTCTTTCTACATTAGACTGTGGAGTTGAATATTTCAAATCCAAAACTATTAATGGCAGATTCTAAAAACCAGAATGGAAACCTTGATAAATACCTTTGTACTCCATCTGCAGGTCTTAAGAAAAAGGAGGTTTAATCTGTGTCAGGAACCTACCATTTGTTCACTTTGGAGAGCTGGAAAGAAATTACGATGGGGCTGGCACTGGAACCTGGATGTTCTTGGCTCTTGTGGATCCTTCTTTTCCACAGGGTTTCTTTCTTCATTATTTCTATCATGTGACTGTGGCTAGAAATGCTTCCTGATAAGGGGATGCCTCTGGAGGAATCCTGGAGCAGGAGGTAGGGTACTTCAGTTTGAAAAACTCCAGGTCTTTAGAGGAGTAAAATAGGTAAATGAAGCCCACAAGCTCATTTATGCTCGATCTCCATTCACTAGGGTCAAAGCACAATGTTTGGCACATAAAAGGCATTCACTAAGAGTTCTGTGAGTGCACAGATCAGAGGCTCTCAAGACACCTTCCCCCAAGGTTTGATGATTTGCTAAGAGGAGTCACAGGACTCAGTCTATAGTTTCACTCATTGCTGTTATTTTTTTACAGTGGAATAATATAATGTAAAATTAGCAAAGGGTAAAGGTGCATGGGGAAATATGTGGGAAAAAAACAGGTGCAAGATTCCAGAGTCCTCTCCTAGTGGTCACACAGGATGTGCTTAATTGCCCCAGAAATGAGTTGTGACAATACGTATGAAATGGGAAGTTCATTAGAAACTCATTTCCAGGCTTTTTACTGGGAAGTGGTCACTTAAACAGCCTTTGCTTAGCATTCCAGACTGCTAGAAGGAAGGCAGGTGTTTAGCATAAGCCATATTATTTGCACAATCAGGCACGGTGAGTCACTCTTATTAGTTAGTGTGGTGAAATCTCTCCCCAAATCTAAGCTCTCAGCTGCCAGTTGAGTCAACTTCGCAAGCAGCCCTCTAGAAGTATAACAGTCTCAGGCCTACTATGTTAGCTCTTTTCTGCATAGTGTCAAAATAGAGATTTGGAACCAAAGACCTACCCAGTATATACTTGGTCAATACCCTTAGGAATGGAACAGGTTGATTCGTAGCCAGAAAAGCATTTGAATATTTTTATGTTTTAGCCACCACAGCCTGTCCAATAAATCTATCTTAAAGGAAAATGTGAACTATGGGAAATTAAAGTAAGATTTATGCATGATATAGTGTCCCTTAAAGCTCTGAATGAGCCCATTAAGCTATTTTTATGCAGTGCCTACTATGTGTTAAGCATATTCCTGTTATAGAATTATGTGAGCAAGAGAAAAAAAGTCTCTGCTCTCTGGACCTGATACTACAGTGAGGGGAGACAGACAAATACAAACAAATAAATAAGTGATAAGTACTAAGTAAATTAAGGGTAAGGATGGGGAACTGTAGGATGATAGGGAGTATATTTTAAATAGTTTATTTTGGGAAGGCCTCACTAATAAGGTAACATTAAGAAAAGACTTGAAGAATGTAAGAGAGTAAGCCATGTAGATATATAGGGGAAATCATTTCAAGTAGAGGGAAACCCAAATGCAGATGCAAAGATTTTGAGATATGAGTGTAAATAGTGTAATCAAGGAAGAACAAAGAGGGAATATAGCTGAAGTAGATTGAGCCAGGAAGATATGAAATGATGGAAGGACCAGAAGATACAGAGCCCTGGGACTTTATAAGGACTTTGGTTTTTACTCTAACATAAGAAGTCATTAGAGGGTTTAGAGTAGAGAAATGTTATGAACAAACTTTGTTTAAAAGAATACCCTGGCTATTGTGTTAAGTATATATATGGTTGGGGCAATGGCAGAAACATAGAGACCAGATAGAGCAATGATTGGATTTTTCAAACTGGGGATAATGGTGACCTTGAGAGGACCAGTTTTGGTGAGTGTCTGTCAGCTTTATATAGTTTCTGGGGACAGAAACTTATTCTAGCTGTTTAAGTAAAATCATCAGGAACAGAAACAGCTCCAGGGACTATATTCTACATAGGCCCCGAAGAACTCTATCTTTCTTATGGCTCTGGATTGTCCCAGTTCATTTGGAGCAGAATCTACTGCATGGCGTCACTGGATGCAATCTTTTGGCTTATGCCCTTACTGTTAACTTACTCAGTATCCCAGTTTTTTTTATTACTGAGAGAACTTGTTTTTTATTCAGCTTTTCATACTAGGGTATAAATTTTAAGATATAAGTCACCATCAGCCCATATAATCACTTCCTTTGGATTAGGTTTCCATCTCCATGTGGTCACTTATGACTGGTAGGAGTGATGAGAGTTGGAATTGTATGATAGAGAATATGGAACTATGCAGAAGGTGTGCATAAGGTTGACACTGTGACAGTCTTTGAGACAGCTTAGTGACAGTCTCAGAGCATTTTGAATTGCGTCATTCTGGTTTTTTTTAATCCCTTTGGATCCCTACATTTGTATCTTTGGGGTAAATACCCAGTAGTGCAATTGCTGGATCGTATGGTAGCTCTACTTTCAACTTTTTGAGGAACCTCCATACTGTTTTCCAGAGTGGCTGCACCATCTTGCATTCCCACCAACAGTGTAGGGTGGTTCCCCTTTCTCCGCATCCCCGCCAACATCATTCTGTTAATATTTCATTTGCTTGCGAGCTGAACTGTTGAACAAAATAACTACTCTGAATTCTTGCTTTGCCAACATAATGACATTGGCATTATAAGCTTGTTCTTCATTTATTTAACCCCTTCATTTGTTTGGCCCTGCCCATCTAATCTTAAACTGTCTCTGATCATTATATTTTGTATCCGAGATTTTTCCAGAGGTAGTTGTAGCAGGTCATTGGAGATGATGTTGTTGTCTAGATTGATGGGGAGTATGGCCTGTCTACCACCATTTAGCCCCCTTTAATGTAGAAGGGCATGAATTCCTTTCCACAAATAGGTATATATATATTTAGAATGTTTCCTTAGTCTTGCTTGTGTTATGCCAAGTTAACCAAATTACTTTTTTTTTTAAGATTTTATTTATTTATTTGTCAGTGAGAGAGGGAGAGAGACAGAGAGCAAGCACAAGCAGGGGAGCGGTAGGCAGAGGGAGAAGCAGCTCCCCGCGTAGCAAGGAGCCCAGTGCGGGGCTCGATCCCAGGACGCCGGGATCATGACCTGAGCTGAAGGCAGCCGCTTAACTGACTGAGCCACTCAGGCGTCCCGACCAAATTACTTTTTAGTCAAGTATCTACAGCACTTATTTTCTAAATTTAAGGACTATGTTAAAAGAAGAAAAAATACGACTTTTACAGGGAGTTAGATCAGATGTCTATTTTCTTAATTTTTTATGAAACACAGAGATAGGCATGGACATTTGGCTAAAATCACTTTTAAATAATTGTGTAATTCAGTAATTACAACAGACTTAAGGGCTTTATATCTAATGTTAAATCATAATAAAACTTTTAATGTTTTAAGAAGCTGTTTAGAAAGTTCTTTTATTAGTTACATTTATAAATGTTAGTTTTGATAATCTAGACCACTCCTTATGCCTTCATTATTGAATTTTAACTTATTATATTGTGAGTCTTCCTCTAAATTATAACCTTTAATTGTCACTGGAACATTGATTTCTTGAAACCTTTGGGGTATAATTGATCTTAACAGTTAAAAGAGAATTTTCTTTACCTTCTAAGAAGAAGGTGGTAGAGAAATGTTTTAAGCTATAAGAGAGAAACTTGAGCTTGAAGTTTCTACATTAAATACACATGTAGAAAATATGAAGTGAGTTGTGATGCTGCAAACAGATCTTGTTCTTGTTTTATACAATTGGCTGCTATTTATTTAGCTTACCAAAGTTCAAAGAAAGGGAAGGACTTAGAAATTCTTATTGTCCAACACTGATTTTGTTTTTTGTTTTCTCATGCTGAAAGACTCTTTAATTTTAAGGAAAAGTTCCAATTATTTTAACCATTAACATTGATGTTTTGGTTAGATTAGGTCTTTCTATGCTGTCTAAACAAAGGAGTAGGATGAATCATCTATTAGAAAAGATATGTGGTCTATGTGAATTACCTAAATTGTCAAATGAACATGATTCTTTCCATTTAAAGATTGATGACAAAATTTGTCAGTCTTCAGTAGACTAAATCCTAGACTTGAGGAAAATATCACCTATCTGAATATTCATAAAGTGTATAGACAAGGTGTTCTTATAGAATGAATTTTGGTCTGGAAAGGGATCTTTGAGACCATCTACTTACTCAACCTCTTCATTTCATGAGGTGAAGAAATGTGTCACACAGAAGTTTTGTGACATCCTAATCTCATGTATTAAGTGGCAGTGAAAGACTCCAAAGCTCATCTTTTGATTCTCAGTCCAGTGGTCTGTTTACTACAGAGCAAGGCTGTTGTTGAGGCTGGAAAGACAAGCTTTAGGTTGAATTTTTAAAAAACTCTATTTTCTACAATAGGGAATAATCATTTGCTTCTCTGTAAGTATATGCAGATATAGAATAATGAAAAGAAATGTATACACTAAGTAAAATAGAAAAGTATAAATTTAAAATACTTATGAGACTGATAATTAAACACTAACTGCCTATTTATTGATATTATAGAATTAATTTATTTTACAAATAGTAATAGCACTGTGGTTATGTTTGAAAAGAGTCCTTATAGAGACACATACTAAAATAGTCACAGTAAAATGAAAAATAAATATAAATAGATTCATAGAGTGTTTAAGAGAAAGTTTTGCAGGAGAGAAACATAATGCTTGATTGAGAACTTGGCAGTTGAGAGCTATGTGCCTGCTGTGTAGGCAAGGCCTCAAGGGAAACCACTACCTTGGTGGGCTCAGTAAGGGGCCAGGATCTGGTTCTCTGTATTCTATGTTCAGAAAGTTATTTTTGTATCTTGGACTCTGGGGAATTGATTGAAACTATCTAAGCTTAGCAGTTTATAAATTCATAGGGAGGAACTTTATTTCCAATGGTAGAAATAATTATATCGCTACTTAGGGCAGTATCTTTGAAAAGTATCTGGGAAACTGAACTGGAAATCAGAGTTCCCTTATGAGCATCATGCTAGAGCCAAAGAAGTTGAATAGATGGTAGGATGTTTCATTCTTAAATGGAACTGCCTGGAGACTTGCTTTTGCTTCACTCTACGTCATTCTTTTTTTCTTTTTTTTTTTTAAAGATTTTATTTATTTATTTGAGACACAGAGAGAGAGAGAGAGAGAGAGAGAGAGAGAGTATACCAGCAGGGGGAGAGGGGCAGAGGGAGAGGAAGAGGGAGAAGCAGACTCCCCCTGATCAGGGAGCCTGATATGGGGCTTGATCCCAGGACCTTGAGATGATGACCTGAGCCAAAGGCAGATGCTTAACTGATGGAGCCACCCAGGTGCCCCACTCTACATCATTCTTATATACAAATGGATTCCTTTTATGAAGGTGTTTCCCCCTTACCAGGCCCTTGAATCCATTGAAATGATTATTCTCCAACTTATTATTGTTAGTCATCAAGAATTTTGTGACCTCATGCTAGACAAGAATGAGCTTAATTCAAAATTTTGAAGTTACATCTGACTAGTCTACCTAAATGTAATCCTTGGTCACTGGATTTGGTGAATACCTAGTCTCATTATAAACATCTTTACAAAACTATTTTCCTCAATTTGGTTTCTCCAGTGCCTGATACCCAGGGGACCAGGGGTCAGCACACTATGGCCCACACTAAATCTACCCAGATGCCTGCTTTGTACAGTCTGCAAGCCAAGACTAGTTTACATACTTCTAAATGGTTGGAAAAAAAGTCAAAAGAAGACATGTGACATATTTCACAGAATGTGAAAGGTATGTGAAGTTTAGATTTCAGTGTCCATAAATAAAGTTTTATTGGAATATAGTTATTTATGGCAGAGTTGAGTAGCTGCAACAGAGACCACATGGTCTGCAAAGACTAATATTTACTATCTGGCCCTTTACAGAAAAAATTTTCTGACCCAGCAGTGGACAACTCATATTTAATAAATTAAAACATCTTTTGGGGTGGGCTACACTTGCAAAACCTCATTTAGATGGTGGGTCACAATTTCTAATTATAGAGGATCTGAATGTTCTAAGTCATAATATCTGAAGGGTATTGTTTTTTTACTCATTCATTCATTTAATCATTTGACATTCATTATATACTTCCTACAAGCAATTATGGCTTGTGGGCCCAGCCAGAGAAATTAGGATGGTCAAATTCAGGCTTAAATTTTAGAGGTTATTATCATAGAGGCAAACTTGCCCCTTGCACATTCTTCTGAGTGAGACTGTGAAAGGCAGCCTGAGGCAAGATGGACCATAGGTTGACTTAGTTTAAGTTGTAGCTGGTTGGCTGTCTACAGTTTTCAAATTCATGAAAAGTTATGTAGATCTATCATGCTA